CACTGAGTTGGCAACAGTGGGGTGACTATTGTTAACTGTAAACGTGCAAAGATGACCTGGTGGGCCGGTCTGTCAGTCCCACCTCTCTCACTGTAGAGCAAGAGAGGACAGTGGCTGATTTTTAAACCGTTTCCGAGGTACATAACATCAGTGGATAAGATTGGCTTCACATGTAAGAATCGGCCGATCATTGATCTCCGAAAATTAAAGAAATAATTTCCAATACTTTGGCTGGCCGATAAATTGGTGCACCCCTAGAAACAACATTAATATTAGTCCATACTCCAAATCGTATTTACTTTCCTTTGTTATGCCACTGCATTGTAGCTACTCCCCTTTTTATGTTTTCATCATGTAAAGGACTTTGAATTGTGTTGTTGCTTAAATGTGCTGTACAAATAACCTTGCATTGCTGAGAGATTTCTCCAATGATACAAAGAGATTAAGCCTCAAGGTTTATATGTGATGTAAAAAAACACTGCAGCTTCCTGCAGAGGAAATAATAATGTATTACATACATTTGGACAGTATTGTTACTTTCCAATACTCATAGAATAAGGAGTCACTTACTTTCACGAGAATACTTGCGATTGTTACTAGTGACTGCAGGATAGGAGTCACTGTCCCCACTGTCGTCCATCCTTTAAAGGCAAAATCATAAAGATTCAGATTTTAGAAAATGTCCAACATCTGCTTGAATGATCTCAGTTGTAGCTCATAGGGAAGCAGGCAGGTTCCTCTTCTGCTTTTTAAAGATGTCAGCGTGATGCAGCATCACAACACAAGGACAGTTACAAAGTCAGCCTTCTATCACCTGAAGAACATTTCCAGGCTTAAGGGACTAATATTGCAACAAGATCAAGAGAAACTCATCCATGTATTTATCTTTAGTTGTGTTGATTACTGCAACTGTGTCTTCACAGGTCTGACTAAAAAAATAAAATCATTTAGACAGCTGCAGCTGATCCAGAACGCTGGGTCACTCTGCTGTAACAGTATAGCATGAGACAGATAATCTGTGAAAGAAATTGATCTCCTCTACCTTCTCTGAGTGCTAACTACAAACAAAACATCAGAACTAGGAGCCGTGTCTTAGAACTGTCAATCACAACTTTGTGTAGCGTTGCTCATTCCTCTCCCCCACTTGCTTTCTGCTAAGCTGCAGTTAGCAGAGAATTTTGTGAATGCTCAGTATAGTTAGCATGGCCACCAATGACAGTGGAACAACGGTAAATTGTTTCTTCGCCATTAGCACACTGAGCAGCGAGTACATGAAGATTATTGACAACACTAGGACCTTCCTCCTGGCTCTGATGGGTTGTTTTTGTCGGGAACAGACATTTTTTTTCCAGACAGCAATTGCAGCTCAGGGAGATTTTACAGATTATCTGTCTCATGACAAACTGTCACAACATGGAGAGTTTTAACAAATATTTACAAAAGATATTTTTTAAATAAGTTACATACTGCAGCTTCAAATCAATCCACCGATCTTATGTACCTCAGAAACAGTCTAAAAATCAGACTGTCCTAAACACCCACCTGTTTAGAGTTGTCTTTGATTAGTAATAACTGGAACACTGATTTGACAAAATGTGATGTTTATTGTTTGTATTTTTTTTAACCAATATGTTAAAAAATATATTTTTATAAAAGTTTCATACTTACAACTTTAAAAGAACTCAACGTTTCAGCTGTTTTACAGTTTTATGGACGTTAGTTCCAGATTAGAGAAGCATTAAAACTGAGTGCTGCTTCTCCATGTTTGATTCTGGTTGTGAGGATGCAGAGCAAACCAGAACCATAAGACCTGAGAGGTCTGGAAGGTTGATACAACACAGCATGTTCGCTCTGGGCCCCGAATAGGCTAGGACCGCCTGTCAGTGTCTCTGTTACACACTGCAGACGCACTGATTTGGGTATAAAGTATCTGTTACTCAGTGAAAACTGGAATCAGTTTCTTCAGTAATGGCGGTTACACTCAGCTTCTTGTGGGTTTACACAAGATAGACTAAAATGTTAATAATTACAGTTTGTACAGTCTGTTACATATTATGAATACAATAAAACATGTTAATTAGTACAGACAAACATAAACTTAGTTTACACTAATAATAGAAATAAATCGCAATTTTATACATAGAATTATCAAGTCGTTTGAAATAAGATACAACATACCTTCTAACTATCTTCAAGCCTAAAAATCAAGGACGGAGTAACCGTAAATCTCCCAAACTTCTTCTACAAAGGTGCTAACGGTAGTTAGCAGTTAGGCTAGCGCCAGTAAACAGAGACTTCAAATACAGAGAAATATCTAAAAATACAATCGATTTAAGTAAAAACATAAAACTGACCTGAACTAACAAACACTTCTAATAGTGGTACATATTACTTGTGAGCTTGACCCACCTGTGAAAACAGAAATCAGCTTCTTCACTGATCCCAGACCGCTGTACTGACCAACGGATCACTCCGCCTCCAGACAGTGTTCTGTCACACAGCGGACCGCTGCGCACGCTAGGTGGATGTGCACACCGAAGGCGCTCTTTTCAAGCCGTTCTTCGGCCCCTCATTGTGACGTATTGAATCCTTCAGCGTCAGATGGACAAATCATATTTCAAATTTAACCTCAACTGATTAAAACGTTTAATTATCCTTTAATCAGTTCAATTGCATAATGGCACGAAAAAATAATATTTAATGCAAGATCATTCTTATTTTAAAATTGAAAATTTTATATTTTTCTTTTGCCAATCTCACTTTTCTAAAACGGAATCACGGAAAAACACATGGTTTCTGACCGACGGGACCGCTGACTGAACGGAGGCTTCAGGATTAACTAAGCCTGACTGTGAGTCTTGTCTGATGCAGGTTAGCTGCACATCATAAAGTGCTGTTGTGAAAACCAAATCGAGGCTTAATTCAGCCAGGATTTGCGGAAAATCCCGGTTTAATCCGCTATCCTGGTTTTGGGAAACTGCCATCAGACCTGCAAGAAGACATATTCTCTTGAAGTTTTGCAACAAAGAGTTAAATAAAAAATGATCTGCAACCGTTTGAATGAAATCGCTGAAGCTTATTTATATTTCAATTCAGAGAATAATATATATCTTCTTTTATTGAATACTTTCAATATTTTATAACTGCATCTTAAACGGATAAAGAACCGTTCATCATCCAACACGTTTATCTCCAGCGGTCATCAGGCGAGAGGCGGGTACGGCCTGGACAGGCCGCCAACACAGAGACAGACAGGACATATAACCCACTCACACCTCAGGTAAATTTAGAGAGACCAGCAGGAAGTCTTAGAACAGGGATGTCAAGCTCAATTTCACCGAGGGCCACTTCAGCATATTGGCCCTCAACGGGCCACATTGACGGTACAAATCAGGAGTGCCCAGGTG